TATACAATCAACAGTAACACTGTCAACTCCGTTACACCGTCAACTCCATTACCCCGTAAACTCCATTACCCCGTAAACTCTGTTACCCCGTAAACTCCGTTACCCCGTAAACTCTGTTACCCCGTAAACTCCATTACCCCGTAAACTCTGTTACCCCGTAAACTCCATTACCCCGTAAACTCTGTTACCCCATCAACTCCATTACCCCGTAAACTCCGTTACCCCCATCAACTCCATTACACTTTCATCTCCGTTGCACCGTCAACTCTGTTACACCATCAACTCCGTTGCACCGTCAATTCCTCTGCTGCCCAAGACCGGTTACTTACTGAAGGTAAGCAGGGCTTAACCTTTGAACTGTGTGAGTCCTAATGCCTCAGTAAAAGTGATGGGGACTCTATACTGTCAGTGAGCGCCGACTTTCAGATGAGACGTTAAACCGAGGTCCTGACTCTCTGTGCTCATTAAAAAACTCCATGGCACTTCTGGTAAAGAGTAGGGGTGTCACAATGGTGTCCTGGCCAAAGTCCCTTAATCGGCTCTTACAATCATGGCCTCCCGAAAATCCCCATCCACCGTCTCTCCACTCCACCTATAGCTGCTGTCAAATCACGTGTATTGTCACATCATCAGCAGCATGTGTGTGGTGAAGCACTGGCGCTGTTGTCCTGTGGCTGCCGTCACATCATCCAGGTGGATGCTGCACACTGGTGGTGGTGTGGAGAGACTACCTTCATGATTGTGAAGCGCTTTGGGTGTATTACCATAAACAATAAATGTGCTATAAAAAAAAACTCCATTACCCCATCAACTCTGTTACCTTTTATCTATGTTACCCGTCAAGTCTGTTGCAGCTGCATTATACAATAAACAGTGTTACACTATCAACTGTGGTACAACATCAACCCCGTTACAGCGTCAACTCCGTTACACTACTAACTCTGTAACACTGCTAACTCTGTCACCATAAACTCTGTTACACTGTCAACTCCGTTACAGCGTCAACTCCGTAACACAGTCAACTCCGTAACACAGTCAACTCAGTAACACCTTCAACTCCGTTACACCGTCAACTTCGTTACACCGTCAACTCAGTAACACCTTCAACTCCGTTACACCGTCAACTTCGTTACACCGTCAACTCAGTAACACCTTCAACTCAGTTACACCGTCAACTTCGTTACACCGTCAACTCCGTTACACCGTCAACTCCGTTACACCGTCAACTCCGTTACACCGTCAACTCCGTTACACCGTCAACTTCGTTACAGCCTCATCTCCATAACACCGTCAACTTCGTAACACCCTCAACTCCGTAACATCCTCAACTCAGTAACACCCTCAACTCGTTACATTGTCAACTCCGTTACACGTCAACTCCGTTACAGCCTCATCTCCGTAACACCGTCAACTCCGTTACAGCCTCATCTCCGTAACACCGTCAACTCCGTTACAGCGTCAACTCCGTAACACCGTCAACTCAGTAACACCCTCAACTCGTTACATTGTCAACTCCGTTACACGTCAACTCCGTTACAGCCTTATCTCCGTAACACCGTCAACTCCGTTACAGCCTCATCTCCGTAACACCGTCAACTCCGTTACAGCGTCAACTCCGTAACACCGTCAACTCAGTAACACCTTCAACTCCGTTACACCGTCAACTCAGTAACACCCTCAACTCGTTACATCGTCAACTCCGTTACAACATCAACTCCGTTACAGCCTCATCTCCGTAACACCGTCAACTCTGTTACAGCGTCAACTCCATAACACTGTCAACTCTGTTACAGCCTCATCTCTGTAACACCGTCAACTCTGTTACAGTGTCAACTCCGTAACACCGTCAACTCCGTTACAGCCTCATCTCCGTAACACCGTCAACTCCGTTACACCGTTAACTCAGTAACACCGTCAACTCTGTTACACCGTCAACTTCTGTTTATGACTTTTTTGCAATATTTCACATTAAAAAAAATCACAAAACTATTAGTGCCAACAATACCGCACCACTTCAGTGATGTGAGTCTCCTGATTCACTAACAGAAGGTAAACCTCATTGTGAGCTGCAGTGCATTATGGGAGAAACACACTTGAAGCTAACACATATCTACTCTTGCCCTCATGTGGACGCTGAGATTTTGTTTATTGTAAGTTAGTGAGTATTTTTATATTACCGTGCAGCTTCTTATGTGATCTCAGTAAACAGACCATAACTTTAGAATGTGTGAGAACTCAATCTGATCTTCAAGACACGTCTTAAAGAGCCTTGATGCCAGATCACATGACTGAAGTTGAGCAGACCCTGTGCCAGATACCTGTGTGTGTGTGGACTCCAGCGGCACTTTCACACTGTCAGTCTCCTNGATTCAGAAGTACAAGGACACATGCAGGTCANACACAAACACACACACACACACACACACACACACACACACACACACACACACACACACACACACACACACACACACACACACACACACACACACACACAC